TTCATCTTCAAATTAAACGTAATATTCAAAACCATTTTCTATTATTAACAAAGAAAAACACGTCTAATAACATTATAAATGAACCAGTGATTATTATACTTAGACATTTGTATACTCATTTTCATATGACTACATTGCCCTCTTCTTCGACGTCACCTGAACAGACAAAATATAACTTATCAGTTCGACGTTCAAGTACACCGTTGATACCATCGATACACGAAACTGTTTTTAAACGTTCTGAGTCTGTTGCTACTAATGAAAATGTAGGTCAATTTTCTGGTTTTTGTCTTTTTAACTGAATATTCATTACCGTGCGCGGGAAAAATTTCTGAACCTAACTATTTTTTTATCTTCCAGTTGTTAGACAGTTGTTTGAACAAGTTTATTATTCTTTTACTACAAGATATACATTAGTTCATCTTGTTATCAAACTTTATCAGATGAGATAATAATACATTTGATCTTTCATCGATCTAATGTTCTGAAGTCTATTGTAAGATCTTGAGATCGCATTGAAGCACAGTAATGAGATAGAAGAAAGTATCTTGACTTTTTTCTCTTTTTCACTTTCAACGTCATCACATTCAAAATTTTTATTGTTTTTTTTCATTTCTGCTTCTTTTCAGGACATTGAAAAACATTGGTCAATGAAAGAGAGTGAACAAAGTGCAATTGTAAAGAAAAAAGTTGATGATAACAACAGTGTCAAAGTTAGTCAACTTATTGCTCATTATACTACGACGTCTGCTAATGTACTAAAACATAATATGAATAATAATATATTTCATACGGTAAAATAGTTGTCTATTCTATTCTTTTTCTTATTAATGTATAGACATTCTTTACATGTGGTATATCTTTGTTAGCTAATGTGTTGCAAATATATTACCAACTTATCTTTTCACTTACTTATGCTGGCTTTTGATAAGCAAAAGTTTTAATATAGTTTGTAATTACTATCTTCATACTTTTCTTATATAATTGTTTCTCGTAGGAGGAAAAATAATGCTCGCGAAGAATGAAATTCTAGTCGAAGGAGAAAAAATG